ATTTTAATTTGCAGGATGGCTGAGGGGGCCTGCACCTCCACTAGAATAATACATATACAGAAAAGGATCAAAATTACTGAACCTTGTGATACACAGCCAGGAGGTGAGAGAAAGGGGAAAAAGCACTTTCTTTCCTGCCTCTTCCCTTGTATCCCCATCCAGCCAGCATGGTTGATCACTTGTCAGTGCTGGTGAGAGATGGTAAGTCACTGCCTGTATTCTGCAGTGCTGGCAGGGCAGTGTGCCTTTTTGAGAGAGAAAACTCCATTGAAGTAAGTGTGTGCTAAACAGGACAAAGTACTTAGCTATGTACAGCAGCTGGAAAGGCTGAGACCCACATTGGTGTAATGAGAGCAAAGCCCAAGCACTAGTTTGGGCAAAGGCTATCCTATGTTATTGAAAGAAATGTCAGTAAGAAATATAGCCACCTCATGTATTCATGGAGGGAACAAAAGCCATATGGCAATTTCTTCAGCATTCAAGATAGGAAAGAGGAGTCACTGAAAGAGTCATATACAATCTAACCACCCGGGAGGAAAGTGTTTTTCCTTCTTCAGCTGATTGGTGTCCCTTGGAAACATCTGGTCTTGCTCCTGAGTTTCTTTGATGACAGCATAAATGGTGCTACATAATGCACCTTTTCTGTAGCATTGTTTCTTGGGTCTCTGTTGTGGGAGTCACATTTTCCTTTTCTCTGCATGTTGTGTTCTGATAATCTTATTTGTTCTGTCTGTGGTGTATCTGCTTCTGATGCTTTCTTATTTATCTCTGGATTTTTTTCTGGCTTTCTGATGGACTTACTGAGGAAGGATTGGTAATACTAATTGCATTTGCAAGGAAGATACTATCAATTCATAGTTTTTACTTTTACAGTGATGGCTACATTTACTCAAGTAGCAGTCATTCTGGGTTTGCTCATACATTGTTGATTCACATAAAAAAATGGAAGGCCTAATTTCGACATAGGGCCTGATGTTCTGTGTAATACAGTAATACAAAATTTATCTTGGTAATTACATCGTCCAGTTTGTGGTAGACATCTTGGACTTGCAAGTTCTATTGTTTAGAAATTGATGACTCATCTGGCATTGGCTGCTGGCATCCTTCTCACTTGGGTGCTGTTCAGGCTGTTCTGCTGTCCTCTGTTAATTTTCTGAGTACTTCAGTCTGTTTCTGCTCTTTGTATGGTCCATCTGTACACATGGGGAAAGGACCTTTGGCTTTCACTACATTTTAATTGGGAATTCTCCATTTATATTTTAAAAATTCAAACCCGGGCTATGTTAAATCTAATTTTGGTGATTCCTGTTGAAGAGTTTGTCTTGAATCCTCGCTATGAGCTTTGTGCTTTGGAGTTTTTTCCCCAAGCCTTTTTCCAGCTGAAGTAAACTTTATTTTGCTATTAACCTCGCTGGGAGGAGGGGCAGCCATGACATTGTATTCCTTTATTTTGTGTTACAGCATATATGATTCTAGTTTTAAAAAGCATATTTCAGAATACAGATGAATGTTACTGGTTGATGCCAATGTGTAATATGTCCCCTCCACCATTTTTGTTGTTTATTGTTATCTTAAACAGAGGCATTTGGAGATTTTTTTTCTCCATCAAGTTCCTCAGCAGTTAAAATTGCTCAGAGAAGGTAAATAATTTAAAGACATGAATTTCTAAAGGCAGTTAATATTTCACATTGTAGATTGATCTGACAGTAATGTGTTTATAAATGTTATGCTGAATGTTCCAATTTAATCAAATTTATTTTTTGGCTTGCATGTTTTTATTAGAATCACTGTGAAAAGTGGTTATTGTCTGACTTACATTAAAGTTTCAGATTATGTTTTTGATGTCTCTTATTTGTTTTTCTTAAGAAAAGTTCAATGTCTTGAAGCATGCCACATGGAATGGTAGTAGAATTTGCTTTTCACATATCTATCCCTATGCTTTAATTTTGAATGCCCATGTATTTTGTTTAATTTCTGCATTTGTATTTTTTATGTACATTTTGCATCTCAGTTGCTTTTTTGCAAAAGTTGAAATATATTCTGCAATATCTCTGCTGCTCTGCTTCTCAGTAGAGTGAAGGTGGTTGGTTGTCCTTCTGTATTTAATCACCTGTCTGAAAGCAGAGTAAGAAAACAAGAAGAGCATGCCTATTTGCATGCCTGTGTCATGTCAGGGACATAAGAGAGTTACTTCCTATCCCTGGGCATGGTGCTTAGTGTTATAGTCTAACCTTTAGCATACAAGGCTAGTTTCTGCTATGATGTGCACAATAAATTGCCAATACATTGTGATGGATTTTTTTTTAAATTTATTTTTGTGGTAAAGAACAAAATACTGAATATAATAAGTGTACCTGATAGTTAGGTATTAAGTCATGGCCTGTGTAATTTTATTGGAAGTTTATTACAGTGCAGGCACATTTAATGGTGAATGCATATCCCTGTATGTGAAATCACCACTGATGTAATGAGAAGGGAAGGCTGTGATTAATCTGCCAGTGTAAAAGTAACAGGCACTCATATACTTTATATTATTACACGCAGCCTGTGTATTCAAAGCTGGGAAATTATCACCCTCCTTTGCATTAATAAAGATGTCAGTGACCAGGGATGTATCTGTGACAGGAAGGGCTCAGGAACCTTACCCTGGACTTATCTGTTTGCTCTTTAAGGCTCAAGTGGCTTACATAGGTGGGAATGTGTGAGGCTGCCAAAAGCCATTGCCAGCACAAAGCCTGGTCCAGCTTGTGACAGGATGCCTCTTGTTGGAACCCAGGATACCCCTCTGGGTGCCCTGGATGACATGTGCCCCTGGCAGTGGGCTGGGGAGTCCTGGCAGGAAGCCAAAGACACTTGGGATTTCGATCTTAACCCATGGAGCAAATTACCAACCTTGTATGAAGAATCACAAGTCACAGAAGTTTAAGTAGAGTAATAATGAATTAATCACTGGGTGAAAAATGGATTTCTGGTGATTTTACTATAGGGGGTCTGGGAGGCAAGATGGAGGGATGCTGTCCTATTCTTCTTCCTTCTTCCTAGCCTCCATCTTCTGCTAACATGTGGTGATGTTGGCACATTTGGAGTGGTTTAGAATAGAAGTAGACGGTCTAAACAAAGGTGATAGATATTGGAAAATAATGATAAATAAAGTACATGTAGTTCATAGTATAAAACATTGACACCAGCCCAGGGGTGGGCAGAGCAGACCTCTGTGGGTCTGAGAAAAAATATTTTAGATGATAAACAATAAACAACCTTGTGAACCAGAGCCAACTTGGTTCTTCGACCATTGGGCTGGGAAAAAGGGACTCTCGGGGTCATCTTGGACGCAGGGAACGTGAGAATCTCTTTGCCAGGGAAAAGGCAGGACAAGTAGCAGCAGCTATGTGGTGTGTCAGGACAGGTGAGGGCAGGTCAAGCAACCTGCTGAGTGCCTGAGGCCCTTGTGACATTGCCGCAAGGTTGTGAAGAGACACAAAACTTGTCTAGAATTACTTGCATCAGCAAGTAATTTTGGCATTGACCAAATAAATTGCCTTTTAGCCTGTTCATTGTTTCGCCTGTGTATAGGGGTACCTATATATACCTGAGGTTTTCCTCTTGGACACTTGTCTATGCTCCAGGATCTTTAGTTGGTGGAGCAAGAGAACTGTAATGGCAAAAGGCTCCTAGCTTGACATGGGGGGCAGCACAGTGAAAGCAACCCCCAAAGGTATTTTTGTTGCAAACCAAGAGAATTAGAGAAGCAATCAGGTGTGCTGAGAAGGGATAAGGAAGAAGCAGGCTGTCCAGACTGTCGCTGTGAAACAGTTATAGGCTGGGGTAGCACCAAGGTCGGTCCAGGCATAGCAGAGTCAGGCTCTATGAGATTATGGAGCCCAGCACTAATGGCAGCCTTTCCAATCTAGCCTCCTTTTTAATTAAACTGTAAATGCCAAAATATTCTGTTCTTTTTCTCTTTTTTTTTCTTGTTGATACTTCTTAGGGTGCATATAGACTATGGTGAGCTTTATGGAGAACAGGACAGAGAACCTGAGAAAAAAAGCAGATACTGACCAGCACTGCTAGCCAAGGTAGTTCACAGCAGAGCCCAGATATGCAAGTAAAGCAAAATATACCTCTTTTTTAGAGTAGGTGGATTTGAGAGATGTTGTAATTTAACCTCCAGATCTTCTCAGACTCTAGTCCGAGATTATAGGAGAAAAGCATGTCTAGGTGCTCCCTGGTAGTCAGAAAGGAAAGGCTGCCATGGAAAAAGAGCCTGAAGTGTGTGCAACAGGCAGAGAAAGCTCTTTGGTTCCTGGAACACACTGAGATTCATTAGTTTTTGAAGAACAGCTGAAAAATGTGTTTTTGTTGGGGGGAGGTGGGGGTGCAGCTATAAGTGTGCATGCTTGCCATGCAGCTCAAAATTACAGCCCGTAAATAGATGTACATACTTAACCTCCTAGAAGGGCTGTAGCTTCCTGCTGTAGTACAATAAAAATAGTAATACTTACCATTTAGCTTGTGCTTTCTATTTTCAAAGCTGTGCCAGTGTTAAAGGCATTAAAAAGGAGAAAGATCTCCTGCCCATTTATTTCATTAGGTATTTCAATGTAAAGCGAGCGGGTGATTGTGAACAGGATATGGTGAGTTTTTCAATTTCGGGGGGGGAAGGGGGGACGGGACAGTGCTATTTTGCATGCTCCCTGGAATAAAAGGAGATTCAAACCCTTCTATTCTGGCAGCGGGGGCACGACATCTTTCAGGTTTCTTCCAGGAGCGACTCTCACAGGGGAGCCGATTTCTTCTCGGATCTGACCACCACAGCCCTCAGTAATTATAGCAGCGTCTGAATTCTGAGCTAAAAACAGAAGTGCAGCATGTGCCTATTCCCCATGATTCAGAAAGCAGGAAATTGAAAGAGCCTGACTGAGAGGAGAGGGAGGGCAAAGCAATAGACACATCCAATATTTGTCTGAAACCTGCTACGCTTGGGACGCCGGAGCTGTCATCTGCCGGCGCCGATTCTGCGTGCAGCCTCAGCCGAGCCTGATTGGGCGTAGTGGCACCGAAGGCAAGGGAGGAGAGGCGGCTGGGCTCGCCGCACCGAAATGTAAACAGTGCGAAGCTAGAGGGAGCGCAGCGCCTTCCTGCTCCGAGGAGCAGGCAGCTGGCTTCAGGCTGCCCCGGCTCCGGCAGGGACCTCCGGCGGCAGGTCTAGCTGTGTCCGGCTCGATGAACAAAACCAGGCACTTCGGAGGATCTCCTGCCTGTGGATGTAAATAGGGGGCAATCGGGATGAGCTAGCTTTCTCCGCCGGCGCCGCAGCTCCTTCGTGCTCCGCGCCGCAGCTGGGACAGGGCGATGGACATGAACATGAAGAAGTTCACAGTGCGCCGCTTCTTCTCCGTCTATCTCCGCAAAAAGTCTCGGTCAAAGAGCTCGAGCCTAAGTAGATTTGAGGTAAAATTCGCCTTAACTTTGTTAAATGTAGCAAATGCTGTTAGGTGCAGGTAGCGGAGGTACAAGATAATATCTGCATTTACTGATGTGATAAGTAGTTAAAGGTGCTCTTTCCCCGGAGATGGTGATATTCTCACCTAGTGTTCTTTGTTTCAGTGTAATTCAGTGCTTTTTCTCGGTAGTATTCAATATATTGCATAATATATGTAGTGTGTTGCCAAGAGTCCTTTTATCAGTCCTGCAGGGGAGGAGGAACCTGGTTCTGGACGTCGTGAAGTTGTAGGAAATAATTACACATCCACTTAAATTAGCACAAATAACACCATAGTTTGAAATAGCCTCATATTTTAATCTCCCCCTGCACACGTACCATTCTTTCTTAGTGCTAGGTTTCAAAATTAATCAGTTTGCTAGTGCCTTTCATATATATGTGGTATGTTAGACAGGGATTCTCTTGATTACTTCTCCATAGGTTTTCATGTTTGCACATATTTTTTGCATTTATCTTCTGTCCCATACATCTCTCCTGGTATTTTTAATTTACTTTGTTTTAGGAGAAGTTGTTCTTTAGGAGCTGTGAGGACAATGTCAAATTAAACATTTCATGATTTAGCAGGGTGGGGAGATGAAGGCAGTTCAAGTAGGAGGTATTAGCAAATTGGAATGTGTGAAGGGTTATAACCCGGATTTCTGCCTGCCTTCCTCAAACCACTGTTCTTCAGCCCTGTATTTGGAGCTGTGAATAGTCGGCAGGATGTGAGATCAGTTGAATAGATGTCAGTTATTTTCATGTTGTTCACTTTACCATTGCAGATGATCTGCAAACTCTGCATTAATATAGAGGTAAATGGGGCCTGATCCCCTTCTGTCTCACATTTATTTTGTGCTGGTGTACTTCAATTGACCTCTGAGGAGTTACTCTAATTTGCACTGGTACTCCCAGGAGGAGGATTAGTTTTATGCTGTGTGAATACATTTTGAAACATTATTACCTTAGTGTCCTATTTAAAGCCCCAGGTAATTGTTTGAATATAAACTTTTTCATGTATCATTTCTTAAACCGGGCATGCTGAAAAGCAGTTTTTCACCTGTGTGTTTTGTTGGTTTTTATTTTCTTTCCTAATTCTTTAAAATCAACTTTCTTTATCATGTAAATTTTTATTTTCATCATCAAACAGACATGCTATGCATTTAAAATAAACTAATAACTCCCTCCTTGGAACAGTCACATCCCAGTAGGATTGAGGGGAGAGATGGGGATACCTTTCCTTTCCTGACTGTGTAGTCAGAATCACAGAGCTTAAGCTAGAATAAATGTTCCGTGTAACACATTGTAATTTTTCTAAGCTCGTGCTCCAACAGAGACAAGTAGACCTGGAGTTACTTAAAGGAGTTCTGAGACAAATGAGTGTCTTCACAGGCCAGCAGTGTCAGGATGGGATGGTAGGAGGGGAGTTGGTTTGGAGAGAGCAGAGCCCCACCAGACCTCTTAACTACTCATTTGACAGTGCCATAGTCCGGGAGAAACAGATTCCACCATACTAATTATTTAACTTACTGGATAATCCAGTGTGAATGACCAGTATGACTCAGCACTTGTATCAGGCTAGACTCTTGCTTCACTTACAAAAAAAGAAGACGAAGTCTTTGCAATCCCTTTGACCACCAGTGTTGAATTTATTGGACTTTTCTCAATAACTATGAAATAGTTTTCCCTTATGTGAGTTGTATGTTAATGATTTTTTTCTGATTTTAAATAATTTGCATCAAGAAGCAACCTGATACATATCTTGTCACACATGTAGCTTCAGAGCATTTCATCCACTTTCCTCCTTTCTTCTCTGGCTTGTCAGTAATGACCAACTTGATGCAAAGTGGCTCAATATTATAATGGAGTGGAGAATAGGGGCTGTTCCAGCTATAAAGAAAAAATTATTCATAAAATCTGTTCTGCTATTTAAGTGTGAAAATCATCAGAAATGTTACTTCTCTGGGCAGAGGGCGACGGCCAAACATGAACATCAAGTCTCCTCTGTGGTTCTCATCCCTGAGTATTTCCTTGTATAGATTTGTAATTGCAGGCTAACAAGTGCTTATCAGACAAACAGAAAGTGTGAGGAAGCCTGTTAGATGGTTTTTTAGAAGTGAGACTATTCTTCATCCTAGAGGGTAGATATTTTTAAAGATGCAGTAAAAAGATACAGGTTGTTACATCATGGAATGAGTAAAAGTAAAATAAAGAAATTTGGAAAAAACACATAGGGCATTGCTTTGCTTAGTGTGCATTAGCTAATGTACCTGGCAGAAATTGTGTTGCACAATGTCATTTAAAATTTGGAGGGGAGCTGTTTTTACTAGGTTGTGTGGGATTTTTGTTATGTTGTTCTTTTGGCAAGTTGGAAAGTAGGGTTGAAGGGCTTAAGGTAGATACTCCTAGGCTCAAGGATTTAATATGCTTAAAATACCACTATTAGAGTAGATTCAAAAATAATACAGTATTAGTTATTAATATCATGATTAATTACTTTTTCTGCTGTGGTATTCTACACTTCATATTCACTTGTAATGACAGTGGTAGCTTATAGGGCCAGGATACAGCTGCAGAAAAGGACTTAGCAAATCACAGCATGTAACCTGACCTTTACTTGATTGTTTCAGATGCCAATGTCATTGCTATACCTGAAACAACAAGATGATCACCTTGTGTAAACAGCTGGGTTTCACACTTTGTCCTGCTAAAAGAAGCAGAGTGCACTCTGGTAAATGAGATGGTATTAGGGTTTAATTTCATCTTGCCTAAAATTCATGCCCTTTTTATTATTCTGGAAAAAACTGGCTGGAATTTGAATTTATTTGGCTACAGTTTAGGGGTTTCAGTTTATATTATTTTTCAGTATGGACTGCATTGCCCTTCATTTAAAAGGTATCTAGTGATGTAATTTCATTGAAGTGCAGAGCAAAGTTTTGCCCTTCTGCATGCACAGAGTTCTGATTGAAGTCAGCTGAAGATCTAGCAAAGTCAATGGGAACTGCACGTGTGCATCTGAGAAAGGGCTTTGTTTATGGATCTTGCTGAGTGTTGATGAACATGGATGTGAAACCATCAGGATAAAGTACACGCAGTGGGGATCTGCTGAAGACTTTGAGACCCGGTGGAATGCCTCTTATTGCAGTGAGCAATATCCTTGATTTATAAATCAAAATTTAAATATGCCATTGGAATAAGCTAGGAAATACCCAAGCTTATAAAGAATTTGATAATATTTATTCCAATGATGCAGGAGCGTATTTTTTTTTCTTTTGCGAAAACAACCAATTAAAACATTGTCTTTTATTCTTTTTGGAGATGTTTCTGACTTTTGTGTTTCTGACATATTTTTAATTCATTATTCTTCTGCTTTAATTCTTCTAATTCGCTTTTAGTTTTACTGGTAATGATGAATCCAAATTATGTTTACTCTATGTATGGGGCTTAGAGCCTAGCAGAGTTCTTGGAATTAATTCACAATTAATTTGGAGCCTGGTGTGCTTTGGCATGATCAGTTTCAGAGGCAGGATCTCCTATGGATGATTCAAGCATAGGTCCTCCTTTGGTTCCAGCACTGGCACATAGGAAATGGAAGCGAGCCTATGCAGGCTTGAAAGTAGTAGTGTAGGACTGGCACTGGCTTTGTAATACTTTGTTATGAGAGACTTTTGGTTCTAATTTTAGGCTCTGATTCTGATTTCCTACAAGCTAAAGTTACAGCAGTTACAGCAGCCTTAGGAAAGAGCCCACAAAATGCTGAGCTAGACTGTTCCTTTTCCACAGTGGGCTGAAGCAACAACGCTTTGCTTGCAAACACTTGTGAATTCTTTTGCACTTGTATAAAGAGCAATTCTGTTCCTTATCAGCAGTATGTGCTTTATTATTTTTTATTATTTTCATAGTTACTCACTTGGTAGAGGAATAGAGTTCTTCTGTCAAATGTTAGCCAGAATAAAGGCAAGTTAAAGAAAGGAGATGGGGATTATCAACCCAAGAACATCTCTACAAGGTGTAAGTCCTGAGGCAGCTTTAGTTTTCACTTTTTTCCCCCTGTGGTAATGATAATCTTTTTGATGTGTGTTCTTGCTACAGCAGAAGGTACCGACTCCATTGTAGTGTCTGACTTCCCCCAGCTGCAGGCAAGACTTTTACGAGGAAATGCTGCAGTTCTTGTAGTCTTGCAAGGCTTGCTGGGGGGAAGGGAGGCAGGGAGGGGAAAGAGAGCAAGAGCAGGAGGAGCGTGTAGTCCCTCAGCTAGGTCACTTGAGGAGCCAGGAAACCCATTTTTCAGGCTCATATTGACAACTTGCTGTGTCATTACAGATGGTTCAGACCTTTATGCTTTGCATTTCCCATTTGAAAAAAGGAAAATTATGATAAATATTCAAGTCCTTTGTTACTATTCTACCTATTTACCTTGGGTTTGGGGGCAATACTCATATGTGTACACTTTAGTAATAAAGGAATTGCTCCAATTCCCCAGCTGCTTCTGACTTTATCCCAAATAAAAGTCTCATGTGCCTCTCTATGTACTCCTTCCAACAAGCATCAAATTAACTGCTGAGGTGCAGAAAGGGAAAATTAAGCAGGTAGATGTAGGGATAACTAATACACAGGAAAATCACAGAAAATTGGGACTGGAAGGCATCTAAAAACCCTTGATTTGGACCCCTCTTCCTCCTTAGGAAGCATCAGCTATATCTATACTCTTCCAGGAAAGACATTTTTCTAACCTCTTACTGAAAGCCTCCAGTGGTAAATGCCCATAACCTCTCTATGTGGTATATTTTGCATCATTATCCTTAGCATCTGAGGGTTTTCCTAACATCTAACACAAGTTTCCTTAAGACAGTTTAAGCCTGTGTCTTGTTGTTCTTCCCACTGTAACTGTGAAAAGGAGTTTCCTTTTCTTTGCAGGATGATTTTTATGCATTTGGAAACTGTTCAGGTCCCTTTTCTCAGTCTTTTTGGA